AAGGAAAAAAGAAAATAACATTATTTGCAGAGCATTCGAGTCTCAATGGTCATTTTATGAGTTACGGTATTAGTGTTACCTACCGCGATCAGTTTGCTTGTTTGTTTGTTTTGTTTTGTTTTGTTTTGCTTTTTGTTTGTAAAGTGTATCTACATTTAACGATTTTGGGTACGGTACATTGTTTTGGCGATAGAGGGGTCTTGTCATTTTTTTTCTTTGAACGTAATCCTTCAATTCACCTAATTTATGTTGTACTGTTAGCGCAAGGATTGTTCACTATTCGCGCTACCTTTTTGTTTATTTATTATTTAATTTATTTGTATTTTCTGTTTAGTGTATGAATCGAATACACCATCGTGTGCTCCTGTTATGAAATCGTTTTCCAAATATATGTTATTAGTTATTTTTACTATGTAATTGTAAATTTATTTCCGGTAAGTTGCAATGGGCGCACTTTGATTTCAATACGAAGCAAAGATCTTTAGCACGAAGTCGCAGCGGGCGCACTTTCCCATTTATTCTACAGTAAGAAAATTTTGATCTGACACTGTTATAAATCAATATTTAGAATTGATACATACATTTTTATTTCCAATTTAATTTAACAAAATATATTTCTATTTTCAATTTTCTCGCTTGGTTTCCTCACTTCACAACCAAACAGAAGGTAAGTACTATTCTTGCATAATTTTATATTTTATTGATTTTAAAATGTGAACGATTTAATCCAGCACGGTGAAATTAATTATACCATTCCTTCGGTTAGGTCTATATCATGATGTGTGTGCAAATAGGCCTATCTAAGATGTTCTCTTGCTGTCGTATTGTTGCGTAAATATACCGGAGATAACGTTTTATATTGTACTGTATAATATAGGCCGAGTGGTAACATAACTGTTTTCTATTCTTTCTTTCCAATCGGTCAGGCGTGTACAGTAAGTACCATGTCATTTTTTTTTAAAGTAATGAGTATATTAGGCCTTTTATTAATATTCACATTTTTATTAGTATTATGATAATGATGATCATCATTATCATCATCGTTATCAACAACACCACCATAATCTTCATCATCATCATCATTCATTCATAATCATATATCTTAAAATTATCAAGATCAGAATATTTCCTACCAGAATAAACATCACTGTCATTGTCATCATGATCATGATCATCATCATCATTATAATCAACATTATCATCACTTACCAAATCATTAACTGTTTTTGTCATCGGTTAAATTTTATTATCAGCATTTGGTGACGGCACAATAATAAATTTCATTTTTATAATGATTACAACTTACCAAATTATTATACCTGTGGTAGTGATGTTTGTTATGTACTAAAATCATGTGTCTTTATCTTTCAAATAGGTATCCAACAGGGTAAGCAGCAATCATTCAATTCAGATAACTCTATACATCCGCACATCCGCTAATACGTGGCAGATGCGGATTGGTCAGTTCGATGATTGATGGATTGATTTATTGGTTGGTTGGTTGATTGGTTGATTGATTAACGGTGCGCATTACATCAATAACTCATTCTTTGATTTCTAATGAAGAATTAACAGATATAATTAGATCGCGCAGACAATCTTTATCCATCTGACTTTTCACTATTAATCCGTCAATCACTTCAAAGCAGACACATCCATTATGCCAAGTATTATTGGTTTTGTTTAACATGTTGCCAATGTGCCTTAAATTATAATCTCTATCAGTTTATGTTAAAATTTCTACGCATGTGTAGTGAGGTGTGACTTTACGCATATGTTTTCATTGTGGCATTGTGAAAGTTGATAAACGAATACCATTATCGATTCATTTTATTATTTGTTTTATTTGTATTGGACAGGACTGTTTTTTGTTTTTAAACTTATATACGTGTTTATCTTTATATAGGCTATAGGCATATGTATCGCCAGACAGTTTTTCATACAGCTAAAAAGGGAATTTTTCGTTGAAGAGCTATGCTTAATAAAATTATGACAATCATTTTTCTACTGGAGCACTGTGATTATTTATCCAATTTTCTGTACACAGTAATAATATAATTGTTTGCTATGGAAATTGCCTCTCTGATTCATGAAATGGTTATTGTCATAGACGGCTAGAATACTGTAATTATATGCAAGATTGTTTTCGTTTGTATTTGAAAGTTGTAAAACATTAAACAGTTAACTTTTCTCCAATTACTCCGAATTACTTTCCTATGCTGGTTGGTTTTCAATGTTATTATCTCGTGTTATTTTTTAAATTTTAAATATTAATGCAAGCATTTTACTGTACATGTTTTCTTGCGTTTGCATGCCAGTTAATTGCACAGTTTGTCTTTTATATTTAATGTGAACTTTGAAGTGAATAATCTAATTTTGGAATATTCATTTATTCATATGATTTCTTTTTTTTAATTGCGCCCTCTACCAGGATTGTGAGGTGAGTAGATTGTTACAGTACCGGATACCGTACAGTACTGTAAAACCTCGAATTGAAGCCCAGTGGGCTTAATCTCGAGATGAACCACATCTCGAATTGAAGCCCCCTCTTTAGTTTGCAAAATTAGCATTGGAAAGAAGCCCATCTTGAAAAGAAACCCATTGACCTCTTCAAAATAGCATAGGCTTTTTTTCGAGATTGTGCAGTACAAAAACAAAAACTGTACATTAATTTCAGAAAACAAAATAAATTAAAAATGAGCTTGGTTTATACAGTAGTTTAGGTGATTTATATATATATATATATATATATTGCTTTATAGAACAAATTCACAAAATCTACAGCATTCATTTTGCAAAAGTAGCCACGAAATGAAGCCCATCACGAAATGAAGCCCATCTCGAGGTCCAGGGCTTCAATTCGAGGTTTTAGGTATTTGTTATTATCATTATTAAATCAGATATTGATAATAATAATAATGAATTGACATTAAAAAATATATAAAAATACTTAAATTCCCGCCCATAAAATCTTAGCTTTTTGTGCAGGATGTGCAAACATCTCCAATCCCTTAGCACACTAAGTAGTGCCTCCCTAGGTTCGCAAGCCCTAATTTTGAGTTACTCACTCTTTATTGCGCTTAGTGCTCGCCATACCTAATTTAATTAAATTTCTTTTTAAATTAACTTGCTCGTTGGGGGCGCTGTCTAGCATTAGGAAGAGAATAATAAGGGACATTATACCTGACGAGTCTATCTGAGTCATATCTGAGTAGATTGCAGGAGATAGTCCGGCCTATGGTGCGCTTTGTAAGTCTTATGTATGAGATAGATTTATCTGCTATTCAACTTTTCATACACTAAAAGCTGATTTTATTATAATATTTATTATATATTTTGCAGGGAACATTTGGAAGCTCAAGGGTAAGTACCGGTAGTTGATTAATAATCATTTACTATGGATATAAAATACAAAAGTCTAAATATTTTGCCTCAAAGTACAACGAATATAAAACATGTGCACTTTTCAGACATCAATTGTTCTTTATTAAAAATTTTGATAGCTAAGATGTTAAAGTTAGAGCCCATTAAGATGTCAGGCTTAAGTGTTGCTGCGGGCATAGACAAAAAAAAAGCAGGCAACTCCACCAGGTACCCATCTAGTGGAGAGAAGCATTGCAGATAAAGTGCCTTGCTCAAGGACACAAGAGAAATGCAGAGTGAGGGACTGAAACCTCGACCTCTAAGTTGGGAAACCAAACTTGTTCCCGCTGCGCCAAACCGCTTCCACAAAATTATAATTTGTAGATATAGGCCAGGGAACAGAGAAATTTCACTATAATTTGTAGATATAGGCCAGGGAACAGAGAAATTTCACTATAATTTGTAGATATAGGCCAGGGAACAGAGAAATTTCACTGTTCCCTGATATAGGCCTATATAAATATTTATGAATATCCATAAATGTAAACCAAAGAACTCTTTACCTTTACCCATACTGTTATTATTATTATTATTATTATTATTATTATTATTATTATTATTATTATTATTATTATTATTATTATTATTATTATTATTATTATTACTATTATTTCTACCTACTGTTTATACTAAAAAAAATATAATTATTTTAAATTTTGCAGGGATCATCTGGAAGCTCAAGGGTGAGTGATCTATTAATATGAACATAAATTACACATTAAGATATCACATGACGACCGACATTTTCCAGTCATTGAAAGTTACCGTTTTTGTATTTCACTACCTACCGTTTCTTAATTGTTAATGAGATACTAAAAGTTATAGATATTTTTTTTTCAGAGTCGATTTGGTCTGCGAACTCGGCTAAGAAACGCGATAAAGAGGGCAATGGCGGAGCGAGAACAATAACACATCCCATATAATATTTGATCAGCAACCTTACATTTTAAGGTATAGGCCTATTCTTTACAAAATTGTATAGTACAGTCAGTATTATCCAGTGACGTATCTAGGAGTCTTGAAATGGTGGGGGAGGGGGTGATGTATAATGGGGCGCGAAAATGAAGTGGGGAGGACTTGATCATTAGGAGAGGAAAGCTAATTTGTATTTTAATAAGGTGATTTGAGGTAATTTTTTAACTGCTTGAGCGTGATTTTTTTTATGGTAGCGGGGGCCGCGAGTATTTTTTTTTTTTGAGGGGGAGGCATGTATCTTTCCCAACTGTGCACCCCTAGATACGTCACATGTAGCCTTTCTTTTCAGCAGCACTTTTGGAACCTCCTCTGTTAAAACTTTGATTTGACTACCAATAATATTAAATTACGTTTTATTTCCTTTTCCCCTGATAATATGGTTATCCTCTATTTTTACTTCAGTACATATAATATACATGTATTGAGCATTAAAGTATCTCAAAGATATACATTACGAGACGAGTTTACTCTTTCTTTTTTTTAGATTTTTAATGCAGTTTACATCTATTTTCTTATACTGAAGTACTCGTAATCTACATATAATTTAAACGCTATAAGTGTTTACACAGTGGTCGCATTAGAATGGAACTGGACCATTTGCAGGTAGACATGGGCTTATCATAACACGCTACTATTGGCCGGGCTAGCCCTCAAAGAAAGCAGTCATTACATCAGTGACACACAATGTAATGTTTGATTCGCCCTATATGGTGACTGTCGACCGGTGGAAATTCATCTGCACATTTGACGCTGAAAAAGAAGACGTATAGGCCCGGTTACTTGTAATTATTCTTATAAGGATATTCCATCTATTTAAAAAAAACAAAAAAACAAAAAAAACAAAAAAAAAAAAAAACTTATTTAGTATAAACTGACTGTTTTCTTGCTATTGAGATAATTACAATTGAATTTAATAATCCAAGTTCTTATCTAAAAATTACAACTAATATAAAACTGAACCGATTTAGTTGTAGGTTATTGCACTAATCTATTCTAATTTTTAGATTAAAACGTTCTCAACATCGAAAAGAAACAATTGGTTTACAATTACAAAGGAGTTTTAATTAGTTAATTTAGTTGTAAGTTAATTTTCGATATTAAGGTATCGAATTTGTTATCTGAATATAAGAATTGGTCTTTTTAGTGAATCAAGACAAGCTCATATGTTTTAGCATAGATTATTTAAGGGTTTAAGGGGAATTGGTTCTTATGGTTAGGCCCTGCTAACTATAATAGTTTTGTCTTTTATTTATTGTGGCTGGCCATAGAGATGTTAAGCTACTAAGTTAAAGAAACTACTAAATATTAGTCCATAATGTATTTATTCCTCCTCAATCCAAATGCACACGTCATGTCCCATTAGTTATTGTCACGAATTCTCTACATTTTCTATAATAATTTTTACCTTAAATATTTCCTTTTTAAGTCAATAATAATTTAACTTCTTCATAATTTCGCTGGTGCTCATAAAATGCAGATATGTAGTGGTAGATTACGCCATCTCAAAATCGGGGGTGTGCATCTTCCTTCTTCCATTCGCGTTCGTGCCTATTCATAATTAAATTTTAGTTTTTTTAGTGGCTAAAAAGCGCCTTGAGTTGGTTTTTTTTTTACTGTGAAAGGCACTATAAAAATACATGACCATTGAAATTGTTGACCATTGACCATAGATGTGTATAAGAGACAGTAGAAGAACAGCAAAAAGCCAACTTAACATTATGAGTCTCTTCGCAGTACCACGGGTAATCTTGAACGTCAGTGGGTAGATGATAGTGTAAAATCTGTCGGTTGAAATTGCTACCAGAATAAATGCAGTGACACTCGGCACCAGGTACTCTACAAATCGCGTCCATTTACATAACGCATCTTTCAAAATCCACTCATCACTCACAATACGCGTTGCTATAAACGGCATACAGAATATTGTCATTAACATGTCACTAGAAGCTAACGAAACAACGAAATAATTCGTGGTGCTTTGGAGACGTTTGCTACGAAAAACAACTATTAACACAAGCATGTTACCTACGAATGAAATCAACCATAGCGTTAATAATATAGTCATCTGCAACATGATTGCTGCCGTGTCAGATGTGTATAAGGATATTGTATAATATACGTGTAGACTTGGACTGTTGGATGTAGTTCTCCTTACTCAGTTTGATAAAACTATAGTGTGGGTTTCGTATTTCCACAAATCAGTACATTTTTAATGTCATGGTAGGCCTATATTTGTCAATAATTAGGAAGACAAAGTTAAAACAAATAATTATGTGACATTCTTGTAGATTTGTTGAGAAATTATGAAAACAATAAAATCCTTCAGAAACGTTCCATTTGGTCATCGTGTCGAATTTGTAACTTTTGTGCTACAGTAAATAATTGAAAACGTATATTTTTTAAAATCATAATTTCAATGATATTTTTGTCATAAATTTATATTTCTAAAATCTGATTTTATCTTAATCTGAGCCAAAATCGTTCATTTGAGACTGGTAGATCCAATCAATCCGAAATGAGCTAAACTCAGAACAATCGGTAAGCATTTTGTTTTTTTAATACAATATTGGTGCAGCGCAGGAACCTTTTCATAATGTTCTATGCCAAATTTGTGCAGCGCCCTCTGTCGTCTTTTTCGTCTTTGTCCCATTCTTTTTCCACAAGGTTTTTTACCTGGCACTTTGGTAAATTTCCGTGCTTGTATTTTCATCACACTTAGTCCAAGCAAAGGTATAATAATATAATCCATAATTCAAATTGTCTTATTGCATAACAATAAGTACAACATCTCTATATGTAACAATGATGTATTTTCTTGATTGATGGGCTAAACTCAGCGAGTAAACGTAATTAAATAGAAAATAGGCCTTTAATATTTCTCAATAGATTTTTTTATTAGTTTCTCATAAAATATTTTAACTGATTTGATACGAGAATTATTATTTATTTCAATTATAAAATCAGTACATCATAATAAGCGCGCATAATATGCGTGCACAACATAGACAATGTACGCCTACGTGTTTGAGACAAAAACATGTAACAAGAACAAATATATTTTTATATATAAAGGCAGGCTCAGGTCGACACGGAACTCAACTCAACTCGTCGACATGAGCGTTTTGCGCAACTGAAAGGAGCTGAACGCAATTGAACGAAACTGAAAAGAATTGACAGTCACGCAAATTTGTCGACATGAGTCAGGTTGAGTTGCGTTGAGTCCCTTTCAGTTACCCATGTTCTACTTTTTGCGGAACTGAAATATATATATACATACACACACACACACACACACACACACACACCCACCCACCCCCACACACACAAACACGCACACACACACACAGCATGTAATAATCGTATCTAGCATAGCCTGGTGGGTTAGGACTGCACGATATCCTATAGTTTCTGTGGTCTAATGGGTATTATACTTGTCTTAACAGCGCTAGGTTGCAGCTGGTTCGAATGCTGCCAGACACTTTGTTTTCATACAACCGAAATAAAAGGAACTTGTCGTTGATGAACTACGCTTGATACGATTATTACAACATGTTCCTATTTTGAGCACTGTTATTATTATTTATCTATTTATATTGTGTTCCACATGTCACGTGGATATATCAAAGCGAAGGGAAAACTTCTATTATATTTATAAACAGGGGCGGATTTAGGTTCAAATTTAAGAGAGGGACAGAATGTAAAAAATAACCCCAATAAGAAAGGGGGGTCGTGGAAATTTGGATTCCTGACTTAGTCATATAAATTTTTTTTCCATGAATGGATGAATCTCA